GGTGTTTGCCATCGGGGTTGGGTTTTCGTTGCTTGGCAACGACGTTGTAAACAAGCCCCCCCATCGGTGTTGGCCATCGGGGTCGGGTTTTCGTCGCTTGACAACAACGTTGTACAACAAGCCCCCCCATCGGTGTTTGCCATCGGGATTGGGTTTTCGTCGCTTGGCATCGACGTTGTAAAACAAGCCAATTCACTTCGTGAGCTCGGCAAACAGGTTACCGTTTGTTTTTTTTACCTCTGTTTTTTTTGCGGTAAACATAGTGGTGGTCGAGTAGATCATGTTGTGCGAGGTGGAGAAGCCTCACTCCGCGTCAGGGGGATGATCGCATCACGTTATGTTATAATGGCCAAGCACCCTCGAGGCAGTTACACAGTTCTTATAACTGTCTTTGGAAGTGAAAGCGCCAGAAAATGTNGTAAAACAAGCCAATTCACTTCGTGAGCTCGGCAAACAGGTTACCGTTTGTTTTTTTTACCTCTGTTTTTTTTGCGGTAACCATAGTGGTGGTCGAGTAGATCATGTTGTGCGAGGTGGAGAAGCCTCACTCCGCGTCAGGGGGATGATCGCATCACGTTATGTTATAATGGCCAAGCACCCTCGAGGCAGTTACACAGTGCTTACAACTGTCTCTGGAAGTGAAAGCACCAGAAAATAAATTAATTCATACGCAGCTGTCATCCGTACGCAAGGAAGTAAGCACAAGATGCCGAACACCCTTAGCAGGATGCAGCGCACCCTTCATGCGACTCGCCGAATATCTCACGGCGCTTCGCGCTTGGTGATGTGAGAGCCTGGTCCGGTGAGAACCCGGCGTGCTCCGTCCCGGCTTTGTAGGGATGCGAGGTCAATGGTGTAACGACTACGGCATGCACGACAATGAGTACGCCTCCCCCCTCCCGCTGGTTCCAGTGCTCAGCGTACATAATCTATTACAATGTCACTCACCGATGACGGATTGGCGTGCCGCTGCTTCTTCCAACGGGTTAGAAGCACAATGCAACGGACAGGGAAACCAACAGCATTCCATGTGTCTGTCCGAGATCATTAAGGAGTACTTGTAACCTTTCGGTACCCCCCCGCGCCCCCGCCCCCCCGCCCGCTCTCCCGCTCCCGGATCCTCGCAACACAGGCAACCGGAACATTACTGCCGGGCGAGACGGCGACGACCTCGTTTTCGTTCAAAAGCGCGAACGCAGGCATATTCAGCGACTGTTGGCGCCTTGAGACTGCCCCGGGGGCTGCCTTTGTCTTATCCGCTCCGCCCCTACCGTTGCCGCCGCCATCAACTACTGCGGCCGATTCCAAGAACGTTCTTCCGAACGACGATCGAAATCTTGGTAACCACGCTCAACGAGCCGTCGAAAGCTCCGTCGTGGTTAGCTCGGCAAACACGAGTGACGGGGGGGATGCTGTTGCTGTTCGAGGTCGGAGCAACCAAGACGAAGGGAGATATGGTAGTGCCGGTGGCGGTGGCACGGCGACGACTTCCAGGGTAACCGGAGGCTCGGTGGCGTCAGCCGGCGGGGGTATTGAGGTGGGCTTGAGGGGGGTGGCGCTTGCGCCTGACACGCGGGGGCACGTGAGGAAGAAGCTGTCCCAGGGGGTGATGAGGGGGATTCTCGCGGCAAAGGTGGAGGAAATCGTGAGGGAGGTGGTCCGCGGTGTACGCACTCCTGTCCGCGAAGAAGAGGTACGCAAAAAAACAGGCGCTTCCTTGCTTTGCTCTGCTCGCAAAAAAAGAACTGTTCCGTTTCGCCTGCACGATCCCTCTGTGTAGATGCCACGAGAAAACAAAAACATTCATCGATAGATCCGCAGGAACGTAGCTCGTTCGGGGCATTTGTTTGTCCTGGTCTTCCTGTCGCCATAATTGTCTGCCACCAATTCTCTCTCTTCTAGATACGCCGGCGACAAAGGGAGGAGTTCCTCTCGATCAACGCGGAGCAAGGTCTGTACTTCACTCCCCGAGTCTACGATGGTTTCATGCTCCTCCTGCAACGAGCCAAGGCGATCGCACTCGCGGCAGAGAGGGGAGACTACGACCCAGACACCAACAGCGGCAACGATACGCCTGGAACGCCTCACGGGGAGGCGGTGCCTGAGGAAGGCGGGGACGGTGCCAGACAAGGCCTCGACAACGCTGTTCTAGCAGGCGCAAAGACAATCCCAACGGCCAAGGGCAGCAACGATCACGGGCCCGAGCAGAAGGGGGGACGGGATGGCAACAGCGGCGGCGGAGGAAACGAAAATGGGGAGCGTTCGGAATGCTCGACACGCCCGGCAAGCGCTCTGTCATCGAGCGAGGGCGCCGACGACGATGGCAGCAGTAGCAACGACGGTGATGACAACGAGGACGACGACGAAGGGGGAAAAGTTGAAGCGCAGGACCCAAGCCACGGGAGCAACGCCGGCGACGTCACGGTCGAGCCGACGGAGGTAGAAGGCCAAGAAAATTCGGCGATGGCGGGGGCAGAGGAAGGAGAGCGGGGAGTAGAGCAAGAAGCGGGACGGGACGAAGATGGCACGACGGAAGCATTCACTGAGGAGGATGGTGGTCGTGGTGGTGATACTGGCGGTGGAGAAGACCAAGCGAGCGCGCAAAGCCTTCTTCGCGGTATGCTCGAGAGGCTGGACTGCGGAGAGTGGGACGGCGACGTGAACACCGTCCTAGCCGCCATCGACGGCCTGACCAGATGGATTCCGGTGCCACCGCCGGCTCTGCCGCCGCCGCCGCCGCCGCTGCCGTCCGCTGGAATGGACGAAAGCGACGGAGTGCTTCTCACTCCCGGAGCAGAAGGCTTGGCGGACCTGGATGCAGATGGCACTCAGCGAGGCGGTAGAGATGACGATGGAATGAGCGCGGCTTCTGGGGACGGAGATGATGCAGATGATGACGACGACGAAGAGGAGGAAGAAGAGGAGGAAGAAGAGGGAGAAGAAGAGGAGGACGAGGAGGGAGACGAAGACGATGTCGGCGACGATGAGGAGGAGGGGCCGCAGCACCCCGTGTTCGCGGAGCAAAGGGCCCTGAGAGCGCAGTGGCGTCGCCTCGTGCTGGATGCACAGCTCGAGCCGGAGACGGACGAGTGCCTCGAGCTCATGCGCGAGACGGTCGGGAACATGGTTGCGGGTATCCCCGCCGCGATGGAACAGGCTCGCCGAGATTCCGCGCTGATGGCGGCGGGGAAATCAGCGGCAGGTGGAAAATCAGCAGCAGTACCAGCAACAGCAGCAGATTTGAAAACGCCGCGAGGAGGCGTTTTGGGATTCGACAAGGTGAGTTAACAGTCGCTTCCTTAAACCAAGCAGGGTTGTAAAGGGTACCCAAAAGGGTACTGTTTCATCGAGGGGTCTGTGATCATTTGTTGTCGGTGACGTCATGGTGTAGACCGGCGTCACAACGCGCGTGGCCAAGCACGATGACCTGCGGTCGTATATTTCGGAACTTTTGCTCGGGGGGTCGGATACCCTTGTTGGACCTAGCGTCGGCACGTTTGAGGTAGAAGAAAAGTTGTCATGTCAAAAATATAACAACGGGGGAAAGGCGTAAGGATAATGTATCAGACGTGCATTTCAATTAACCCTTTAGCGGCTCATGGTTTCGCCAGAATGATACAACCCTTCGCTGTCAACAGTCGCCTGGAGCGTTTTTATCGCCTACTCCCCCTACTCGGAGAGCATACACACCGGCGGCAGTTCTTGATTCACCTGTTACGACTCTAGGACTCGATCGCGAACTGGGCCGCGGCGTGCCCGGGCGACGTATCCACACGTGAAACCGACGCCAGAGAGGGCGGGCCGCAGGCGCGCGCGGCGGCGGCAGCCAAGGCCGGCAACCGCAAGGCCAGTTTCCTTGCCCTAGCGTACGGGGAGGTGTCTTCCCGAGTCGCCGCCGCCGCCGAGAGCTTCGAGGCCAGCTTGTCCGAAGGCGAAGGTGCGCGCAGGGAGGTCGTGGTTGCTGCCCGCCGCGCCGCTGTGCTAGAGGGGCCCGACGGTCTTCTGAGCGGGAGAGATGCGGCCGTCCGCCGGGGCGATGGCAACGGCGGCAGCCGCGGCGGTGCCAGCAGGGGCGACAGCCGTGGTCCGAGATCACCATCACCATCACCGCCACCGCCACCGCTCTCTCGACTGGGCGCTCTCAAGTGGGAAGATGTAGGGGGTAGACGTATTCTCTTGCACGTTGATCTCTCGAAGGGGGCGACGCCGGAAGATGGCACTTACGGGGGTAGCCTCGGCGTGGGGGGTGGCGATGGTATAGGTCACGATGGTACGGGCGGCCGAACTGGTCAACAGGAGTTTCCGAAACAGGTGCGGATGGTGGCGGAACAGGTGCGAGAAGTGCTGTCGGCAAAGCCCGCTGCGGTGGCAATCGTGTCCGAGATGGCTCCGCCAGCTCTCGCCACTGCGGTCGCCCCCGCTACCGCCACCCTCAACATCAAAAACTCAGAGGATGTCGACACGCAGGAAAATTCTTCCCAGAGCCAACCATTGGCGGAACCAGGAACGCAACAAGAACAACAACTGTCAGCACAGCACCCTCCCGCCGGTGATCCAGCAGCCGCTCAAACCGTGCCGTCGAGTCCCGAGTGTGGCTCCCTCCGTGCCTCCGCCGCCGCGGTGTCGAGTCTTCTCGGCATGGAAGTTGCCTTCTATGACACCGTGCCGGACCTAGCAGCGGCGCTGGAGCGGTGTGCAGCAGCAGGAGGAAGAGGAGGAGGAGGAGGTTTACCAGGCGCCGGTGGCGGGGATGATGTCGGGGCTGGGTCAGGCGACTTGCCGCCGTTCGGGATGGTGCCGCTGATGATGGCCGAGAGACTGAGCTTACCGGGAGTTGTGCCGGCCCCGCCGGTGGATGAACCCGAGCTCAGCGACGGCGAGGAAGAGCGGCTCCCGGACTTTTCGTGGGAAGGCGAAGGTAGGATTAAGAGCGCGAATACGGGCGGGAGCCCGGGACGGGTTCTCTTCAGCCCTTGTTTGAGGAGCCGCGTGGCGTGTCTTTTTTCTCTGGTTGCAGGGGAGGGTGGGGCTTCCAATACCATCGCTTTTATTGTTGATCTGGGCCGGGGCGGGGGTGTTCTAGGTTAGGGTTATGCGGGAAAGGCAGAGGGAGTTGTAGGATGGGTTGATTTGTGCGCATTCATTTTTTCCGTCTTCATGCCCCGGAATTTGTTTTTGAGAGTTCTCGGTTCATTTGTTGGCAAGCGAAGAATGGTGTTGCTGAGGTCATCCAACTCTCGCTCTCTGCCTATCTATCTCTCTCTCGCCCAACCCAAAAGCACGAATATTGACACAGGCACATACGCACCTGCGCCTGAGGTTTGCAAAGTCCAACGCACACCGAAAAGGACTGCAAGAAACTTGAATACAATAATCTGAATTTATTTTTTTGAAAACACGAAATCCTATCACACAACTGAAACACGAACCAACTCAGAGGCTGAAGCGGCCGCCGAACACGCCAAGGAGATCGAAGCAGCGCGTCTGAAGGTACAGGGTCCCGGGGAAGGAGACCTCGGTGAGCTCCTAGCCGGTGTCGTGGATGTGGCGGTGATGGACGCGCCGAGAGCGTTGTACGAGCCGCGCCGGAAGCTGCCTTGGGGTCCGGTGCCTACGACCGGTCTCACCGTTGCTGGGTCAGGCAAGAAGACCACGGACGGTGGTGCAGGAACCGCTTAATCCTTTTGTTTTTGCGTTTTGGCAAGAATCTGGACGATTAAAAAATTATTTTGGCTGCCCTACCCCGGCAGCAAGGCAGACGTAGAATCTTTCCGCTCACGTTCGGTTGACCGATCCGGCAGTTTGCGAACAGTTAACATATTTTGGACAACAGCCTACCTTAACTGAACCAGACAAAAACTCCCCCTCCCCAATGCACGCTCTGACAAACAACACCTGAATGTGGACGTGTCCCTGTCTTCCTTCCCTTCGCACAACAAAACCGACCCGTCATTATCTGCTCCTCCTCGTCGTCCTCTATCTCCTTGGACAAAAATGCAGGTGTTCATGGAGATATAACCGCCATGGCGTACCTGACCGAGGCCTCGGACAGGCCTCTTCTGGCAATAGTCGGCGGAGGTAGCCTCGAACCGCGGCTGAAGCTCATCGACGGCCTCCTGGACCTGGTCGACACTCTCGCAATAGGAGGCGGGTTAGCCGCCACTTTCGTCGCGGCTTCGTCAACTGAGGCAGCAACGGCAACTGGGTGGAAGGGGGAGGGTGCGGTAGATGCCAGCGGCAGCAGCGGCAACAATACCCAAAGGTTCATACCCCGTAGGCTGCATCGGTCATTTAGCATCGGGACTCTGTTCCCTTGAGAACACCTGTAACGCCGTTTACCGCCATGCTTTCAGTACCCCTGTCGGCGGCACCGCCCCCTTGCCGCCGAACTCCACGAAGCGTCCACTCCCTGCCGGAGATCTTGGTTCTGAGTAAGAGTGGGGCAGGATGGAATGAGTTTTGGACCACGGTTGTTCGTGCAGCCGAGATGAAGTGTAACAGCCCCGGCGCCCGCAAGAGCCGATATGGAGTATGCGGGGAACAGCGTGGGGGGAGAAGTAAACATCTTCTCTGGCGAGACAAAGGGGGATAGGGGATGCAAGAAGCGCTCTTTGTGGGCTTCGAAAATCCGCGTGGTTTGGGTTCCTTTGTGGGGGGTTTTCTCTTGCGAGAGGTGCAAACGGCCGCAATACGACTTTGAGAAAGCGAACCGCCTCATCTTGCACAACGCTTTCTCGCCGAATCTTTTCGAAAGTGGGGTGCAGAATCAGGAGCTGTGTTTCGGCGTGACTCATGAACAGTCCAAGCACCACCCGCTTGAACAACACTGCTTTTCTGGCGATACTTGCGGCAGCAGTATGGGCACCGCGGGAGCGCAAGCAGCAGCGGCAGCAGCGGAAGCAAGAAAACGGGCAAAGGCCAGGAAGAATAGATGGACTGGCAAGGGCACGGCGGGGAAGCCTCGCGATCCCCTCGATGTGGTAGAGGCGGCAAGAAAACTGTTGGTCAAGGCTCGAAAACGAGGGGTAGAGGTAAGACGAAGCGACATACATGCGCTGTGGTTGTTTCAGTCACGTCTGTCTCCTTTCCTCACTCACCACCCCTGCCGCCCACTTGAACAAGGACCGGGTCCGCACGCTTGTTGGCATCTTTACGCTCTCCGGTGTTGTGCGTTACGCGGTTGCATACGGTGGAGCGAATATTCCTGGAAAAAAAGGTGAACGACTGCGTCAAGTGACAATTCTTAGCAGTGACTATTTTTTCATTTTAGTTTTCGTTTAGAACTACATTGCGTTGTGGCATCTGACGTGTGTACCAGGTTATCCTTCCGTCGGATTTCGTGGTCGGTGACATCGAGGTAGACGAAAACGGCCCCCTGCCGGGACAAGTCCTTTCTGGAGCCGCAGGCCCGGACAAAGACGACGAAGAAAACGACAAAAACGACAACGGCAACGATAGTACCGCTGGCAGCGTCGCACCGGGCGGCGAAGGTGCGGGTGCCGACGGGGTTATGGACGCGGCGGCCCTGGACGTGGAGCCGGAAGACCCCGCCATGGGATTCGAGTACGAGGGCGAGGTAAACACACAAAAAAGCCGATTGTACGCATGCATCACCTGCGACCGCTTGTGAACATTGAGTCAAAGAGATCGACTCAACACCAATCGTGCTCCCTTCAATCGATGAAAACATGGAACGAAAGGGGTGAACAGCCGGAACCGAAACATGCAGTATGCAGTCCCAACGAAAACTGAACAATGCACGGGAAGAGACATAGAATAGTCAGAGCGCTTGTTACTTTCGTTTGGAGCTTTCGGGATGTGTGAGCGCGCCGCGATGTGATGGTTAGGAGGTTAGGATCCATTCGTTAGGTGCTGCAGTAGGTGTAATCTTGCTTGTACGGTTCGCTGGTCGGCCCAACGATTCCACCTTCCCACTTTAATGGTTGTGCAGCCGTGGTAATACGTGATGCTTGCATAGGGAGTGCGATTTACCACCCCACAGCTGTCGACCCACGCTAGCCAACAACACCTTTCTTCCCTCGCTCTCCCGCGTCTTTTTACTTTTGCCCTGCCGTGCTCACCACAGAATCAGATGCTCCGCCTGTCAGGTCATGAAACGTTCTGTTTAGTCCACCAACGTGCGAGGCAGATGGCAAACATGTCCCCCGACCCCGTTGCGACATGAAATATTTGAAATGTCAGTAGTGTTGACATGAGGCAGACATCCAGGTAACACCCCTTACCTCTCCATTTCGCCCACTCCCCGTACCCCTCTCCCAACCACGGCCTCGCCTCTTGCACTTGGACTCCACCTGGCACGGCCGGTGCTCTTCGACAGACCATGGATGTTTTACTCGAAGAAGGCATTCCCAAGGGTTTCCACCCCATGGATGTCGGGCCCCAGACAACCGCTGCTTTCCGGGTGTGTGCATTTTCATCATGTGACCGTGTGCATGCTCATGTGTGCATGCCCACTCAAAAATGTTTGTATTATGTTCCGCTAGGGGACACGATGACCGGCTGCTACTGTATTGTGTAGGTGTTCTTTAGGGTCTGAGGAAGGGTCTCGAATTGTGTCTGTCTACATTCTCGCTGGCATGTAAGCAGTGCACACCACAGGTTGGCTGTGTTGGTTTCTCCTCCTTAGCGTATTGTCGTGGGACAATGGGACCGATGTGTTCGTTTAGTCGGCACTTTTCTTTCGTCAAGTTCCCATCGCCTCTGGCCTCTCCGAACGCTGCATCTCGACCCCCGGAGGAACTTCTTCCTTGACCACGGGCGGATGGGCCGAATCAGAAATCCTGACACCCTTCTTCAGTCAAGGCTGCCCTAAACCCGAGCAGCCGGTCGCTCTCCCTCTCAACGTTATGCCGTCAGCCAGCTCGAGTGATAGCATGAATGTCTAGTCCGAAGCTCGAGCCGCCAGAACTACTTCGCAGCCAAGATGAAAGCACAACTAGACGCAGGAGCAACTCGAACCAACAGTGTGCGGTGGTGGAGCAAAAGGGAAGGCGTTTTACACGAGGCCGGCCGTACACTCCACCTCATCCGACAAGACTCTCAATATCCACGACCTGCCTCAAAACGTTCTAACTCCCATGTGATGCTTCGCCCAAACAACTTACTTTTCATGCAACCCACAGGACGCCGTAGGCCGCGCTCGAGCGGTGCTCTGGCATGGCATGCTCGGTGTGGCGGAGTGCTCGGCATTCCAGTTCGGGACGAGGGACGTGTTGGAGGCCGCAAGGTCTGCCCACGACAATGACGAGATGCGGGAGGCGGGGACGTCACCGGTCGTGATCTTGTGCGGGAGGTAAGACGAAATGACGAGCGCTGGAAGGAACGAGGGACGGAGGGAGAGAAGGGGGGGGGGTGGAGAAAGAGGTTCTCCTTGTCAACCAATAACACTTAAGCATCGGGCTACGGAACGAGCAATCCCAACAAAACTATAGTCGGATGTAGTCCGGGTTGGAGACTGACAGTATTATGGAAGATCGGCGCAAATAATGTCGGTAATCCTCGGGACCTCAAGGGTGTGGGACATTGTGACGACGCATCTGTACCCATCTCTCTGTCTGTGTGTCTGTGTGTCTGGTTGGTTGGCTGGCTCTCTCTCCCTCTCTCTCTCTCTCTCTCTCTC